AGTATAAACTTGTTTATCAATTTTGTACATAGTAGTTAGTATCTGCAAATCTCTATCTCCCAACGTATCCCTTCCCACCCCCTTCCCCACTGTTTATTTATTTTTAATGGAGGTACTGGGGATTGAACCCAGGACCTTGTGCTTGCCAGGTACACACTCTAACCACGGAGCTATCCCTCCCCACAACGTGCTGACTTTAACATCCTAGGTGTCTTCTCTGTGTGTGCACACAGGGTAGACCTCTGAAAAGTGGCACTGTAATTTTTTCTAGACTAATGGCTGTGCTGAGACAAGGTGAGATGGGGAGATTTTCCCACGCTAATGTAAAGGGCTCTTCACTTGGTTTCTGACTCTTTCCCAGAATGAACTGCTCACCCACTCCAAAACCCTTCCTGCAGAAATTTTGGAGTCATCACTGACTCAGTGGTAGCCCCTAATAATAGAGTGGTGAATTTTATATTCAGATATGGATAATGAGAGTTTAGAGGACATGAGAACACTTTAGAATAACTGTAAGGTGTATTCCCCTCCCACCGCTGTAACTGGAGCTCATTTTGTAGGTCAGCTACTTTTCTTTGAAGCAGTGTGGCCAAGGGGAGGAAGAATGTCTTTCATTTCAGCTTTGAGGAGGAGGAGTTTAGATTGCCAGAGCTGGACTAGCACTTTTGAATTTCCCAAGAAGGCTGGGCCCTGGTGACTTCCTTGGGAAGCTCTGCCCCACCATCACCCCCACCCCTGCGCTGCTGGAGTCCGGGGCCACTCTGGTCTGCAGCCCAAATCCTGCCTCATTGTACCAGGGGCCAGGCCCAGGTTAGAGAGAGGGCCTGGCAGGAGATAAGTGTCACCTTTGCTGGTGGAAAGATGGCTTGGGCCCTGGGAAAAAGCTGCACTCTGATTGGATCTCCCACTGACCTACTAAAGGTCTGTCACTAAAGGTGTGTCAAAGGGTGGGGCGTGAGGTAGGGGAGGGGTGCACGTGCCGCCAGGCTGCCATATCACTTTGGTTTCCATTCAGCGCACCTGGCCAGTGCCCCACTGGCCTGGGTTGCTGTGCCCGATTTGTCTTTAGATCATGTTTCCATAGTGTTTTTGGTTGCTGCAGCTCTTTGCTTCACAACCACTCTGGCTTCTGGTCCAGGGAGTTCAGCCTCTGGAATGGTCCTTAGAGAGGAGAAAAAGAAACTTCACAACAAGAGGTGAAAAAGATATCTTTTGAAAAAGTGGCTCTCTACTCAGAAAATTCCATGGTGTGAAATAGAGTAACAGTGTTTAGGATTATTCCACTGGTTCCCAGGGGCCAACTGCCCAGTACTCAAGAGAAGTCAAGGCTGGAAGACAACTGTTCCCGACTCAGCAGGACGCTCTGCAGACCCACTGTGACTCCTCTTGTTCATACACCCCAGCCCATCCTGCCTCAGACGCAGAGGAGTGAGGCTTCCTCTCTCCACCTCCTCAGCGTGCTCGTGTTCCTGCTCCCATCACAGATGATCACGACAACACCCGCTGCTAACAGGTCCTCACCTGGATGTGGCCTTTTCCACCTACCACCAATGCCTCTCCTTGGTCCTGCTCCCATATATCCCAGCCCCCGTAACAGAAGGCTCTACACAGAGAGAAACTCTATGTCCACACTGGCTCTCTGGCTAACATTTGGGCAGGGATCTGGGGTGTAGGTTAATAAGAGATTTGCTAATGTGGAATATTCAAGAAATCAATGGAATAATACTTGTAAGTCCTAAAATGCAGAAGGGAAAAAGTAAATTTTGCCAGATGCCTACTTTGCTTTCATTTTATTTAACTCCTAGTATTTCCAGGTTTACTTGGGGACCAATCAAAAGCTTCTGACTGTGTAAAGGTCATGTGTACCACTGTGCAGCTGGGTGTCTCTTCCAGAAGGATTAAAAGTACTTTTGGTGGTGGTGGTTAGGGTCAGAGGAGGAGGTGTGAGGGTCAGAGGAAGAGGTGAAGGGTCATGAGAAAGGAGGAACAAGGGCTCGCAGACAGCCCCAAACTGGGGATAGAAGATCTAGGCACTAGTCCACAGCACTTAACACCTCTGATCTTGCTTTTGGTCACCTGTAAAAGGAGGGAGATTAAAAATGCCTGTTATGACTATTTCTGGGGGAGAAGGGAGTAATATTGGTAAAAAAAAGTTTGGAAAATAAGCAACATTTTTATGTAAGTAGCAAAATGTTATTATTTATAATGTGCTTCAGATCATTGATAGAGACCAATATTCAAGCTGTTCTGTGTATGAAAGCACATTTTGGAAGTATCAAGTTACGTGCCAATAAATCTAATGTATAGAGAGAAAGCCTTGAAAGCATCTGAGTGTTTTGTGGATAGAAATGCTTACGATTCAGAGCAAGTTCAGAGCTGGACAGTCTAAGAATAAAAGAGCCACCCCATCCACTGGAAGGGCTAGGTAGCAGCTTCTGGTTGCAGAACCAGAAACTCTCAGGCTCCAAATAAAACATAAAACCCACCACTCGCATTCTTTTATAAAACTGAAAAAGAAACAAAATAAATACAAATATATTTACACCCGCCATATAAGACAAAGAGTACTTGAGACCTAATGGATATTACATCAGTTTACAAACCATGATGCACTATATGAATAAGTTCTCATTTGGGGGTAATGCATCAAGCAGAGAGCACAGTATACAATATGTGGCCCTGAATGGTAATTCCCTTCCCGCTTTCATGCCTTTCTCTTGTTCCTCTATGTATGTGAATCAGTTGCATTATTAAGCTAACAATGTAACTGAGGTTTTATGAGCTTAATAATGTAACTGAGAATTTGACTTTTAGCAAGGGAGTAGTTCTTAGAAATTTAGGGAGTTAAAACTCTGAATGAATAAAAATAGTTCAATTACATCATTAGTTTAAAATTTTTATCATCACTGATTAAAAATAAAAATTAGGAAAAAAAGTAAAAATTTATCATCAGGCAATGCAGACACACCACAATGTGTGGTGTTTGTCAGGCAGTCCCTGTCACAGTGCAGCTTGACTGTCTTGCAGACAACTTCAATAGTATTTTTAAATTGGCAGAGGCAGCAGGTCCTATGGCTAGGTAAGATCCTATAAATGAAAACAGAATTAAATTAGTGGTAAAGAAGTGACTTGAGTAGGGAGGCAGGCCAAGGCCACCACAGAGCTGTGCAAAAATGAGTTCTCGGGGCACATGGCCTGGAGAATTGGACAAGGACCAGTTGGCCAATTGCTGCTTTTAACTGTTGTAAATAAATACAGAGGACACAAGTTCCCAACAGAAGGGTAAGGATGGCAGTGGGTGTCGGTGTGCCTAGGAAAAAGGTGCTAGGGATTATAATTGGGTGACACTGCTCTATAGTTTAATTCAGAAGTATCTCCTCCCAACCCAAAAGTCTAACTTTGAGTTGAGAGTACACAGGAAGAGGGCAGACTTCTAAGATGAGTCTGAGTAAGTCCCCAACTTCTGGAGTCCCTTTCTCAATTCCTAGTTGTGAGTAGGAAATGTATTAGAAATCACTCTGGGAATCAAAAAACACTTTGTGGTTAATAACAGAGATCACACTGGCCAACTCTGGACAATCTAAACATTTGAAAGAAAAACAATGAGATAAAACAATTTAAAAGCAGAGCATATGAGTTTATAATAATACTCGACATCAGGGGAGCACTTTATAGAACAATGGTAGAAGGAAAGACAGGATTTGGAAAATGTCATTTTGCAACTACCAGTGTGACACTCAACTCAGACCAGGATTATCACTGATGCACACTTGGGTGAAGAGTATTTGAAAGTAGGCTCTTCACTGATTCTAAAGTATCAGCCCATAGATTATTTACTAATTACCAAGGGAAAAGATAATTCAACAATGAAGAGATATGGAAGATATCACTTTAATCAAGTAGTCAAACTTAGCATCAGGCAACCTGAAGTGATGAAGCAGGAAGGATATATTGCCAGGATATCTATTCTTCCCCAGAATGCTTACTTTGAATCTAGACAAATCCAGATGTGGGGCAATTTATAATATAGACAACTGGCTTAGGCTCTTCAAAAATGCCAATGTCATAGAAGACCAAAAAAACAAACAAGCAAAAAAACAAAAACAAAAACAAAACAAAATAAACAGTAGGGAAATATTCTAGATTAAAGAAACAAAGGCATGACATGCAATACCTAATCTTTGACTGGACTCTGTACCAAGACAGAGTTAAGAATGTCACTGACTTCTGGCCCACGTGAAGTAACAGGGAACAATTTAACCTCTTATTTGAAACAATGTGGGGGGGAAAAAAACCCAGATTAAATATATGAAACAGTTTTCAAGATATTGGACCTCTGGCAATAAAGTTCAGTCATCCCCAAGAGATGGGAAATAAAAATGCAGTGATCCCTATGACTCCCCTAGTTTTATTTCTTTGAAAGAGTTTCCAGGTCATGGTACAGGGAGGAGAAACTCAGGCAGACACTGGAGGACTCCCTGACTGAGGAATTGGAATTGAGAGTCCAGGGAAATCGGGGTGACTAGCATTCACAAAGCACAGTACTAGAGAGAAAAGAGGTGCACAAAGAGCTCTGGAGATATGCAGAGGGATCTCTTGAGTATTCAACAAAGTACCGGGCAGTGCATGTGTGTGAGGAGTTACTTGAGGCCAGGAAAAGAACCACATGAAAGGATTAGTGATAAAGGATAACTGGATATGACACAGGGTTGGGAACAGTACCCATTCCTACAAGCCAAATGCTCAGAAAAGTCTTATCTCAGTAGTTGTGAATAATGAGCTCTAGACTAAAGGCTACTCATGGTCATACCTGACCCAAAAGGATAAAGTTGACTTCACCCAAAACAAAGCTCAAACGAATTTCAAGGAATATAAAAATATGCACCACACAATAAACTAAAATTCACAATGCCTGGAATCAAATGAAAACTACCAAGCATGCAAAGGAGGAGGGAAATATGTGCCATATTGAGGACAGAAAGCCATCAATCAAAACTAACCCAAAATCTATACAGATTTTAGAATTAGCAGAACATGACATTGTAATAGTTATTACAACAACTGGCATATGTTAAAAACCCAGATTAAAGACTGACAATGTGAAGTATAGGCATGGAAGAGACAAAATAGCTTCCAGAGAGTAAAAACAATGTCTAAATGAAAAGGACACTGGATGGGATTAATGGTAGGTTAGACACTGCAGAAGAATCAGTGAACATTAAGGAATTACCCAAAATGAAACACAAAGAGAAACAAAACAAATCAACAGAAATGAACAGAGCATCATTTGATGAGCTGTGCAACAACTTCAAGTGGCCTAACACATGTGTACTTAGAGTCCACGAAGGAGACATAGAAAAATTTGAAGAAATAACGGCCAAAAATTTTCCAAATTGGTAAACACGGTAAATCCACAAAGCCAAGGTCAGTGAACATTAAATGTGAGAAACATGCATAAAACTAAAACAAGGCACAAATCATAATCAAATTGCTCAAAGCCAGCAATAAGTAGAAACTCTTAAAAGAAGCCAGAGGAAAAAACTATACACTACATAAAGAGGAACAAAGATAACAGTGACAGCAGATTTCTTGTTGGAAACAATGTAAGCCTAAGCTATTC